TAAATAATAAATCTTTGCCTGCCTATCTCTACGTGCTCTGTTGAATCTACAGACGTATGGCTTTTTATCCTAAGAAAAACTCACACCACAATCGATCACAAAGACTAATTAAGTTGCACAACAATAATCACAATTAAGACAGAGTTAAAGTTAAACATGCTTCTCAGATTCATATTGATCTTAAGCACTGAGACGCTTATGGGATTACATTTCTGCCACATTTCTGCGCGCGAAAGATCATATTTTGAGCGCACAAAAGTGCATTTTGCACGCGCGCGATCTGAGTTTTGTGGAGAAAACGTTCGTTTCGAGGAAAAATACAGTGCATGCATAATTATTATGCAAGTTCATATTCTGATTATATTTTTTTCCAAGCACATTTTACCAATTCCAAACAACATCAATCTTAATAACCACTATTAATCTTGTATTTAATCACTTATAATATATATATTATTATTCACTAAGGCTGTACTTCTGGAGGCTCCAGGTAGGTTGCGATTCTGGAAAATGGTGGCGCTGGAGACTAAATGGTTCCTGGTGATTTCACACCTAATTCTTCACCTTAATTCCTAATTCTTTTGCAGTTAACATGCATCTTTTCTTCTCCACATGTTTTTGACTGACCTTGCTGACCCACTGAGCATTTTGCTGTCCAATGGTTATGTATTAGTATTGTATTAGTTTTTAATATTTCTCATGTGCATTTAATAATTTTTGACTTTCAGTCTGAATTAAATCTCTTTTTTGGTTCATTTTATCTGTAAAAGAAAATCTGCTGAAGGCTGGAAGTGAAAAATGCCTTATATTCAGGTGTGCATAATTATTAAGCAGGTTACAAGCACTGAGGGCGGGCATCAGGTGAGCAAGCTAGTGAAACGTTGCACGTGCAAAAGAGAAGGTCTGCACACATCCAAAAACGTATTTTAAATGCAAAATTGATTTTCGTGCGCTCGAAATACTTTCTTCTTTGCGAGACAAACATTTTCTCCACAAAACTCAGTTCACGCGCGTGCAAAACGCACTTTTGCGCACTCAAAAATATGATCTTTCGCACACAGAATTGCGGCAGAAATGTAATCCCATAGACGCTGGCCTAACAAGTAAAAAAAAAAAAGGCTGCTTATTAGCCAAGACTAAAAACTAGTGCTGTCAAACGATTAATCACGATTAAAAGTTTTTGTTTACATAATATATGTGTGTGTACTGTGTATATTTATTATGTATATATAAATACACACATATACAGTATATAGTTTGAAAATATTTACATGTATTTACCTGTATATATTTCTATTCATATAATTAATATTATATATAAATATATTTAATATATAAACTTAACATCTTTCTCTTAAATATACACATGCTTGTGTGTGTATTTATATATACATAATATATATATACAGTACACACAGATATTATGTAAACAAAAACTTTTATATTTGATGCGATTAATCGCGATTAATCGTTTGACAGCCCTAGTAAAAACAAACAAGGTGGGACTTGTTCCGCCATATTGCGCATTACAGTTTCTCCCATCATAGCCCTACGTGTGATCCAACTTGGTATATACAGTCTTTGGTAATAGTCAAGGGTTTCAAGTGCATCATTTTGGTGACACACTATTGTTCAATTGGTGTTGTTGACAGTGGCTGTCTTGGTAGTGATTATTAATTATATTTTTATTCCAGAGTAGTTTGCAGAGCCAAAGAAGTTGTCTAAGGTCAGATACAGTATGTGTCTAAAACAGCCAAACTTTAAGTCCTGCTATTCAGCCCACATTCATGATGTGAAAATATATAGATATATTCATTTAATATCTAATCTAATTTGTCTATATATCTGGCCTGTGAACCTTCAAACTTCAAGATTTGTATAACCTTTTTTCAAAAACAAAGCTTTGTCAAGTGAACGTTTATGTTTGTCCAATTCTACTTCAAATTCGAGTTGCAATTCTATATCCTGTTTGATACCTCAATTCAAATTTAGAAATTGAATTGAAATTTAAGACATTGTTAGGTGAGAAAAGCTGGTATAAAAACCTGGTATATATGCAATCTTGAACGACATCAAATATAAGTGTGCTGTGAATAAATTATGTTTTCCTAAATTTCTCGAGGAGCTCATTCAGATAATCAACCAATTTAGCACAGGTGGAGCACATTCATATCAATTCAATTAGCACGATAGTAAGTATATATACAGCCAACTTACCTTTGTCCCATGACAGTTTTCTGGCATCCTTCCGCCACTCCAACTCCTCCCTATGAACTATTCCTTTCCCAGCTAGGGATATGATGAGTTCTCTGTGTTCGGACTAAAATCCGAGCTCAGAGCCCTCCCCTCGGACAACACACCTAATATGCACACTACTTGCTCAATCTGATTATATGCAAGTGTGAACTCGTGAGAGTCCTTTTATGTGGCCTGCTGGAAGGTGTTATGTGATTAGTGGTATGGACATAATGCTTATTCTAAGCGTATGCAATGTTTGTGTCTTCCAGTGAAACTGAAGGAAAATATGTCAATAAAAGATGATTCTAAGAATCAGCATCACGTCTAATGTACATGGAAGAAACATATGCTGGCGTTAACTGAGTTCTTTGACAGCAGACACCATACTGCAAAAAGATAAGGTTAATTATGTAGGCCCCGGAGAAGAGTGCGCAGGGCATTCTTTACAGAGAGAACAAGATGTGTGTACAACAATCAAAGCATCTTACATAATGTGTGCAACTCATTTCCCAAGCCTCTAACTACTTGCTCCTTTTGCCTTGATGTCTAATAGAGGTCTTTTGGGTTGAATATGATACAGGCTTAATGAGAAAGGCCTCCTCACCTTGTCACTTTCCAATGAGTAATTGAGCTTCATGGTTAGAAGCTGGTGTGGCTGATTGTAGCCCATATGCTTCATCTCGACTCATTTTGTATGTGTGCCTTCCGCTTGAACTCGGTTCCTAATAAATTATACCTTCTCTTTCACACTTTGCAGATGATGGTAAGTTCTCAGATGTTATCTTTCATTTTCTGCAGTCTCATCAGATTACCTCGAGCCTCAAAGGTGTCACAGCAGCCAGATACTGAATCTATCATGTTTTATCATTGGCGCACTGTGCGTGTTAAATTGAAGACAGGAGAAAAGCACCTTTGTTTCTCACCCCACACCCATTTAATCGCTTAAATTCTATTGTCAGTGAAAATATGCTAATTGGGCCCTCTGTTTGCGTGAGAGAGTATTAAAAAGAAAAGCAATTTTTTCATTATCCAGAAGGGAGAAATTGCTTGGGTCTGATAAATGAGCTTATCCTTAATCCTAATTATGTCAAAGGCAGGATTTACAACCTTTTTCATAAACAAGTAGGGAACGCCACAAAAGACTTGACAAAGTAACGTGGATAGCATTTAGGCCCACCTTGCATTTAAAACACCTGATGCTGATGCAGAAACTTGGTTGAGCTGAACCCTGGCAGGTTTGTTCAACAAAATATAACAAATGACAAAATGTTTTCTCAGGCATGTGATAACTTTACCTAGAAGTGTGATGTATAATATGGATCCATGAGAATATGAAAATCTTGAATGGCTCATGTTTGAGAATTATTGTAGTGATGCTGTGACAGTGACTGGCATGTTGTTTCCTGCAGTGTTTGCCAGCAGGTAATCTCTATCGCACTGAAAGTGCAGTGGATTATAAATAACCCACTGTTGTTCTGAATCAGCCCGAGAGCTCTAATCTTGTCATTGCTCTCTCCAGCTCAAAGTGGCTGCGAAGCCGGCTGTGCAGCTCTTAGTGGTAGAGATTGCCCAGCAACATAGTTTCAGTGCTTGAGTTTAAATATTGTGCCAGCCAAGGAAGATGAACCATAAAGTTTCAAATAGTTATTTTGCTCTTATTTTTATCCAGTTCTCAGAAGTGCCTTACGTTATTAACTTCGACTATAGGAAGTGATGGATTTGTTGTATTGATTCTGTTGCATTGTTACAGCATGTTTTTGTAGTCTAAATATTCTTGCATGACATTAGCTGCTCAAATTTACAAGGTCTGGATGCAGTGTTCACCCTTTCCCTACATTGAACAGGCTGTTACCTTGAAATCCCCTGCAGCATGATCAAATACAGATAACACTTGAGTCATGCAGGTATGATGGCATACTCAAATAATTATACATATAATATTAATTACGTTTAGTATATAAAATGTGCATCCATGTGTATTGGGATGTTATGGTGTATTGGAAGCCTGTCTGAAACCTTCATTTCCTTATGAGGGAACTGGGCAGCAACTGTCTTCGGCTTTGGGCGCAGCAGATGGTCTCTCTGTCAATGTCGACCAGTAAAGTTTATCTACCATACTCTAAATCAGTGGTTGTCAACCAGGAGGCCTCGGCAGACTTCCAAGGTGGGCACAAGATGACTTCAAATTATGTTAAAATATTCTAGTTTAGTATAATAAAAAAATGTGACCAGCATCATATTTTCTATTTACATTTGTCCCCCACAACTGTTGTTTTTACTAAAGAACATACAGTTCTTGAAACTGCTAAAAAATAATCACAGTTAATTATTTTAATCACTCCTAGGTTTTTTTGAAAAAAAAAAAGAGAGAAAAAAACAAACAGATCATTACAGGAGATGAGACCCATGGAAATATCTGAGCCCTGCGATTGTTGTCTTTAACAACAGAGCACCTTGAAGTGAAATAGGTCTAAAACATCATTTCAAAGTATGCGCTCATGTTTGTTTACGCGTTATTCGCCATCGAAAAAGACGCACACTTAGAGCGCGAGAAAGACCGCTGTGTAATTCAGTCATACAGAGTAATTGTGAACGTAAGGAGAAAGTCCACAGACGGTGTTGCGCTGGAGTGGAATACGGTTATCAGAATCCCTCACTCACTCTCTCTCTTGCGCGCCAGCGGCTCTCAGAGGAAGTGCTGCTTGTGCTGAAGGAACGGCTGGGAGCGCAACACACAAGGACGCAGCGCGAGCGCGAGCGAGGACAGCACGCGCAAAGAGGTGCACCTGTAATCCACGCTGCTCACTCGCTGATGTGCGGATAGTGTGAGAGCATCCAGAAGAGATATTCTACACCACGCGCATACCCATGCTTGGGATTTGGCTTTCTTTTTCTTCGCTAATGCAAAAGAAAATATGCAGCGAAGCCTCTCACTGCTCTGCACCAGTTTTCTGGGATTGTGCCTCGGTTCCAGTTTCCCAAGTAATATCAACATAGGTGAGTGAATGACAAAAGTGAAGGATGGAGTGTAGAGTGATGCGTTTTGAATAAAAAAAATAGGAAAAGAGTCATAATTATGGACTTAGTCATTTCACTTGTGTTACCAGAATCCTGCCTAGGTTGTTTTAATGTATTGTGGGATTTTTCTTCCCCCACAGGAGGGTTATTCCCAACCGAATCACACGAATATGAAGTGTTTCGGTTTGCGCTCTCGCATCACCAGGATATCCCTAAACTGGTACCTCAAGTGGATATGGTCAAAATGGGGAATAGCTTCTCCATGACATATGCTTGTGAGTACAACCTGTTTTTACAGTGTAGAGATAAATGTGTGTGGTGAATGTCAACGCACTGCAGCTGCTGTTCGCGTCTATCTGTTGCTCAGAATGATAAAATGAAGAAGTCTGGATGGGAAAGTTTTTGTCTTCCTGTTGCGCGTGCCTCGCGGAGATAAAATCGATCTTATTTGTATTAAAGACTAATATATTTGACATCAAATGTGGCGCTTTTTTAATGTATTAGTGATATGTGGTTCACAAGTGCAGAAAGTGCAGGGTTCAGACGCACAAATGCGTGTTACGCTGAATGCGGTTTACGCCTGGAATACGTCGTTGGCCAGTAACCTAATTATCAAGTTAAACACATTTTTGCACGACATTTTTTCTTAATTTCGTTTCACTACCGTGCGTGCAATTAATCTCAATTATGCGTCATAATGGACGCGCACGCTTCGTTGCTGATACATCACGAAGCCGTTCTATTGTGTTCATAATGCTGATCATTTGAATTAATAACGGTTTTTGTGTAACATTTTGGGGGATGTCGGTCAGTTATTTTGGGTCACAGGTAATTTTATGATTTAGTAGCTTGTAAGATATTTTTGTTTCTACTCTCAAAGCGTGCAACGTGTGGCAGCTTCCTTTGTACAGAACACAGGATCAAAGAGCTGTGGAAGAAAACAAGCGTTAATAGCCAATGAATTGATTAATCAATGACTTTCAAGCTCTTTAGGCTCATGTAGATGTCTAACAGCAACAATATAGTGAGGTTACAGACAGAGGATGTGAAGTCTCTTTTTTTAGTCTCCTTGTCATTGATTTCCAACAAGGGGTATTGGGAACATTGAGATTTTTGCTTTGCTAAAGATATAAAACAGAATTTTGACTTGTATTCATAAATAAATTCACTGTTAGGTCTTTTTTTCATATTTGCATCTAGAAATGCTTCCAGTATTGTTTCCAATACTTCTGTTATTGATTATATTATTAATTAATGTAATAGCGGCCGCTTCAAATAATGATAATGCTGAATGGCTCATTATAATATAATTTAAGAAGAACACATTTCTTGTTTAGTGATGGGGGATTCTTGAGCCTTACTCATGGGAGAGAAAAAAGGTTGGGAAACACTGCTCTATCTGACTTTTTCTCAGTTTCTTTTTCTCACAAAAGCATCAAAGAATGTGGAAAGAGAATAGTTTTTTTTTTTTCAAAATATGACGCAAACTAGACACTTGAGTATGAAAATGAGTGTGAAGATGTCTTTCAGTTCTGTAGCATGTTTTAAATATTCTTTGTTCTGTAATACTACTGAGAGCACATCAAAGAAATGCACTTTAATTCTATGCATTAGTCTCCCCCGAGCTACCAATATTTCTTTTCTTGATGTGAATTTTGGGCTATGCATAGTCCCTCCCACCTCATCCTCCTTTCATGCGTTCCATGTGTGTCAAGTCAGACCAATCATCCATCAGCACTTTAAGCCTTCTCTCTAGTCTTGAGGAAAACCAATCAGATGAAATGAAAACAATTGCGAAATGGCCTTATTAAAAGATATAAGGATGCAGTTCCAAATACTAATGCGGAGGTTTCCCAACAGTGTAATTAAACTCCATTCACTGATTCTGTCAGAGCTGTGGGATTTTTAATAGCATGAAGAGACAAATCAGTCCCTCTATGAATTTCATGGTGTTCTCTCAGGTGGAAAATGCAACATGCTCATTAGTCAATGATGTTCTTGCACTTTTTTCCTCACTGTCTTCTAGATAAGGCATGTGTTATTCACTGACCCATTATGAAGCTTGGTCATATTTAAACGCGCCAGCAGTTTGTCCAGGATAATCAAGTAATAAGGTCTCTTGTATAATAATAAGGTCTCTTGTATCACTCTGTGCTCCCGTTCTGATCTGTTGCGTAGTGAATGGGCAGCCCTTGCGCAGCGAGCTGTGAGAGGAGTGTTGTGAAGGCCCAGACTCTGTGTAATGCTGAATGGCCTCTTGTGCCAGGAACTGAATGTGTGTCCGGAGACGCCTGAGGAAACTTACTCTCAGCTGCTCCCCCTCTGTGTGGGCTCAATCCTTAGAGCAAACCATCCCTGTCAGCACCTGCCGGGCCGTACCAGAGGGGGTTGAGTACACAGAAAAAAGAGGGCAGGATTGTTCTGGGGCAAAGGTTGATTAAATAAGAAGTGCTGTGGCACCTAGGAAAGCACATTTTTATTGATAATTGGAAAACGTAATAAGAGCGCACTGAACCCTTATGTTCTGTTTGGGACCTCTAAGACTTCTAGGCCTTAATAGCTAATGTTAATAGGTTACACTTTACAATAAGGTTTAGTTCGTTATCATTGGTTAACTTCATTAGTAAGTACAATAAACAATACTAATACATTTTTACAATTTTTACATTTGTTATGCACTGTGAACTAACATGAACAATAATGTTTGTATTAAGTAACAGTAACAGGTTAAAAATGCTGTAAAATATATTGCTTATATAGTTAGTTAATGTTAGTAAAAGGGAGAGTTCGCTCAAAAATGAAAATTTTGTCATCACTTGTTCACCCTCATGTCGTTCCAAACCTGAATTTATTTCTTCCATTAAGTACACAAGATGTTTGAAGGGATGGTCACCAGCATTCTTTAAAATATCTAATGAGAAGTATATAATAATATACTTAATATACGTAATTATATAATAATAACATGCTCATTCTCCATTTAATGTGTTATGTTACTAATATTTAGGGTCTTAGAGACCCTTGGTATAAAGCATGAATAAATGCAGTTAATTTAATTGTATTGTGTTGATATTTAGTGTGTTTTAGTTAAATTTATGAAAAGTGCACATTTACAGTTACAATGTTTGCCTAGTGGGATTTGATTTTGTAAGAGGTGAAATTTATTTTTTAATGCTAAATAATTGAGGTTTCTGTATGTAGAATCACAATCAATCTCAACAGAACCTGAGGGCTAAGACTAGCTTTTGTGGTTTTAAGTTAGGCATATTGTGTGTGTGCTACTATTGTTCATTAATATATGAAATACAGCATCAGTTGAATACAATAACTATTGATTTCCCAAAGCCATGTTTGATTTAATTTCTGCTGCAGTCTGTTTTCTCACTGGTTGAATGGTAACTCTTATTACTTTAAGCCAGTGGTTCTCAACCCGGCCCGTCACAAATTCAAATACGGCCCACCATGCTGAACACAATTTAAAAAAATAACTTTCAGTTTTACAATTCATTTTAGTTTTTACATTAATTTAAAAATGTACTAAACAAATATAAGCTATAATGTTTTTGTTATGTAAAATAATTTTGTTTTTCATATATTATTTTCAGACATGAACAGACCTGTACTCACGTAACGTTACGCATTTAACGAACACTTACAAGCGCGCACTTTGGCAGAGTTCAATTCAAATAGTCATCAGCAGCCATTAGTTCGGTAAAATTGAGCATCAAAATGGACACATTTGTTATTAAGGGAGAAAAACTAAATGTGGAAAATGCCAGCGAAGGAACGCATACAAACAAATAACGTTAGCTAACGGATGAGAAATGTCCCGTCATTTGGACAAACAACAATTTTCGCCGATCACAGTCTCTCGAGGAAAAGAAAGAGTGAAAAAAGGTAAATGTCGGAAAATAACATCCATACAACTAACTTATCTAAAACAAAGTTTCCACCTTCTCTTCCACAGCTCGTTGAATTCACACACAATCACACAGTGACAAAATGGTGTCGTTAACTGACTCGCAGCACCAGTGTGAGGAGGCGTGGTCATGATATAAACTTAATAATATGAGTTAATCAAACCTTGATATTTTACATTCGTCAAAACAAATATGTCTTAGTTGAGCTCTTAATGAAAATTTTATATTTATTTATATTTATCAATGTTTTGAACTAAAAAAGTATTACTTCGAAAAATAAAACAAATAATGGTAAATTTAATTGAAAGACAAATTATTAATTTGATGAAGTACTGCTTGAAAAACTTTTTTCAGTGTATAGACACGTTTTAGCTTTCAATTTCAGAAGAATGCGTCTGTATAAAGGTGGAATGCAATTTATTCAATGACCCCCAGCCGTCTCGCTGACATTTGAAGTCCTCACAGCTAATGCTAGATTCCTTTACTTGATCCGTGAGCAGAATTAGAGCTGATCAATAGCCGGACCCCATGCAAAGACTCCACAATCAATACCAGATGTTCACCTATTCCTGCATGCAGAGACTCAAGAGCCCACTTAAAGATCTATGGGAGAGTGTGCATTCATAGACCTCCAAGTTAGAAAGCCTTCAGGCCAGAAGAATATTAGCACGCTTCAAGACAAAGAACTGAATCGAGCGTATTTACTGCTGCTATAATTTGATCTGCACTGAGTGAAGCCTCATAATATAATGCTCTAAATGAAACATCTGTTTTTTTCCTGCTCTGCTACTGTTGAAGAGTAGTATGTGCGTGTGTTTCCCTTTATTAGGTGTTTCACAATATGTAGTTTACACCTTCGCATCTGATGTGATTGCTCTTGGGAGACGGCTGTAAACATGCATCAGACTATCTCAGAAAGCAGCAGCGGTTTCTGTCATAAGCCTGAAATGTCTTTCAGTGTTTCGCACTGAGAAGAAAATAATAACCCTCTGCAGTGAATCTAGAAATGCGTACAGGCAGCACGGTAGTGGATTTCTAGGATTGTGTCTGTTGGGGGAGTTAGCTCCGGGGTGTTGTGTTATTGTGTAACAGGAGACCGGAAAGGGGGAAGGGATCGCCCTCAGTCACCACATCTCCTGGAGCAATCAGACCTAAAAATCCTGAATGAATAAATGATCTGGATGGGATTCCCTAAAGCAAGACATTCAATTAAAACACCAAGAGGTTCAGTGCCTAAATTTCCTTTGCAGAAAAGGTCTGAACAATCAATAAAAATCACAAAATAAACATTATAAATTCTGATTGGATGAGCCACACTCGAAGCCGCTGCACACCTGTGACCGCACATCAGTAGA